GCTTGAATGGTGGGATTTAAGAAAAGAATTCCCAGGTCAAATCCAACCATTCCCCAGCACTGCCAAGGCCACCACTGAGCCCCTGTCCCCAAGTGCCACATCCACAGGGCTTGGAAATCCCTCCAGGGATGGGGACTCCACCCCTGCAGCCCCTTCCAATGCCTGACAACGCTTTCCATGAGGGAATTTTCCCTGATATCCAACCTGGACCTCCCCTGGTGCAATTTGGGGCCGTTTCCTCTGGTCCTGTCCCTTGTTCCCTGGGAGAGCAGACCCAGACTTGACACAGGTTAAGCTCATGACTGAGGCTTATGCCAAGGTATTTTAGAGTCCATCAAGGCCCTGTTGCTGATAATTATCCATTTGTGCCCAGTAATTCGTCCTCTAGGAAACACCTCTCCCTGTTCCTGGAGCTGCTCAGTGAATCCAGGAATTCCCCACTCACCCCTTTTATCTCTCCTCGTTGGCTGCCAGCCTCTTTCCTACCCTCTCCTCTGAAAAACATCTGCCAAACCTGATTTTCCTCACCTTTCCTTCACATTGGGAATAAATCCTACCTGTTTCAGGGTAAACCTTCATTAAAAAATTCTGTTCCCACCAGGAAGGCCCTACAACAAGCTTGACTCTTTCCTTCCTGTCCTCCTCGGCGCAAGCAAGCTGATCTGCACTTTGCCAAGCTGCTAGCGACTCATTTGGCTCCACCTTCCCTAAAAAACAGGAGATCCAACAGGAAAAACAGAAAATAGTGCTTTTAAAACCCGACATTTGAAGCCTCTCAGCCCCCCCCCCCCCCCCCCCCAATTTAGGATTATTTTCCTCGTGTACAGAACCGCCAGTTCCCGGCGGCTCCGCGTCGCACCTCCCTGTCCTGAGGCACCCCAAAGCCAGGAGAGCGGGATCCTGACGCCTGCCTTTCCCTCCTGGATGTGTTTCCAACTGTAAACAGCCCTCACGGAGCCACGTGGGATCGGGATCCACGCTCCAGGCCTGCCAGGAGGAGGATTCCCCATTTCCCATCTGGGCGGCTGAGGGTGGGGACAGGTTTCCAGCTGACAGCTCGCCGGTTCTGCGTGGGAAGCTCGGCAGCCTCAGCCAGGACTGGGGCTTTTCCAGCACTTAAACCTCTTCCCAGCCCCAAGCCAGCACCTGGAGCAGCAATTCCAGGCGGGAGGGTTCCCTAAATGCCGCGGGGAGCTCGTTTATCCCGTGCTAACCAGGAAGAGGCGCTCCTGGACTGACGCCTCGTTCCCGGGGTTTGCGAAAGCAGGGAGCTGGTTAATCCCCCCCTGCCCACGTCAGAGCCCTAATGCTCTTCCCATCACAAATCCTGGCTCACCCCCAGCCCTAAGCACGGCCCCCTTGGGGCATAGGGAGATCTGGGGTTGGATTTTTTGGGTGGATTTTGGGGTGGAGGAGGGTGAGGCTCACGGTGGGCTCCCCATCCCTGCTCCCAGGAGCATCTCCAGCAGCACAGGGAGGGGATACATCAGGAAAATGGGCTTTGGGGACAGGAAAATGTGCTCTGGGGACCTGTTGCTGCAGGTGAGGCCAAGGGGGACAAACCAGGATCCGCTGGATCTCTGGCTGTGCCAAGCTCAGCTCTGCAAAATTAATTCCCTGCTCGCGGCCTGATCCCACATCTCCCACTGCTCTTCCCACCCCCGGGTTTGAATCCCAGCTGGAGCCTGGGATCCCAAATGCCACCTCCGGAATGCCCCACACCGCACAAGGCCACAGCAGCCCCAGACTCATGGGGGCACCGAGGTTCCTTTCCTGGGGCAGGGAATGGCTCCGAGCTCTGCCTTGGCCCTGAGCTCCCCTGTGCAGGCAGCAGCCTCATCAATATTTCAGGAGGCAGCCGGGAAGCCCGTGGCCCTGGCAGCTCTCAGGGCCCATCGGATCAATGTCAAACAAAGGGCTGTGGGGTGAGGACGCTCCGGCCCTGCTCCTTCCCCAGCGAGTTTGAGTTTCCTCCTCCTCCGCTCCCAAAGCAGCCCCAGAGCTCAGAGCTTCCCCCTTTTCCATCCAGCTTGAGGAACAGAATCATAGAATCCCAGAATGGGTTGGAAGGGACCTCCGAGATCATCCAGTCCAACCCTTGATCCAACCCCGCCGTGGTTCCCAGCCCATGGCACTGATGCCACATCCAGTCTGTCCTTAAACACCTCCAGGGATGGAGAATCCAGCCCCTCCCTGGGCAGCCCATTCCAATGGCTGAGCACCCTCTCTGCAAAGAAATTCTTCCTGATATCCAACCTAAACCTCCCCTGGCACAGCTGAAGACCGAGCCCTCTTGTCTTGCTGATGGTTGCCTGGGAAAAGAGCCCAACCCCCCCCGGCTCCCCCCTCCTGTCAGGGAGTTGCAGAGAGTGAGGAGGTCTCCCCTGAGCCTCCTCCTCTCCAGGCTGAGCCCCCCCAGCTCCCTCAGCCTCTCCTCACAGCACTTGTGCTCCAGTCCCTTCCCCAGCCTTGTAGCTCTCCTAATAGGTGCTGCCACCACCCCCTGTGCTGGCTCTGAGTGTTCCTTGGTCTAATGCCAACCACTTAAGGAGGGCCCATCTGAGCCTGCGGCCGCGGGGTCACCGGTTCCCGCATCCCGGCTCCGAGCAGATGCTCGGGAGCAGCCAGGAAACCATAATGCACTTAAGGCAGTCTGACACTGCAGAGGGAGCAGGGGATCCTATTTCCTTTGCCTGCAAATGGAACCCATCACCAGATCAGCCTGCGGTGCTCCCCGCTGGAGATCCAGATATCCAGCCCCAGATTCCAAGGTGTCCATGAGCGGAGGTTTCCCCCTTTTTTAGCTGTCTTGGTTGTTCTTGTATCACCTAATTATTATTCAGGTAATAATTCCGGAGAATGGGTGGGAAAAGAGAAAGAAAAACTAATAACAGAGAATAATTACATCTAGTGGTTAAAATCAGCAATGAAAAACCTTGTCCGACCCTGAGACACTTCCATGGAGTTGTGGAATGGTTTGGATGGGAAGGGACCTTAAGGATCATCCAGTTCCACCCCCTGCCATGGGCAGGGACACCTTCCACTAGCCCAAGTTGCTCCAACCTGGCCTTGGACACTTCCAGGGACAAGAAAGTGTTAAAACACTGTCTCCTTTTCGCTATCAGTAAGATGGGGATAAATTTCTATCCCTTCCAGGGAAAGTGAAGCGGGTGAGGGATTGGAATCCCTCAGGAAAGCCCTGCAGAAGGGTAAGAGCATTCCTGGAGAGAAGTACTTATTGGGAATATCAGCAAATTAAGGCGTTGCAACACCAAGCAGGGGGAATTTGCTGGTGAATCCCATCACGGCTCTGGGAGGTGTTTTCCCCCTCCTTCCCGCAAACAGTCGTCCCAGATCCCCCCCAGTTCCATCTCCTCCGGACAGAAGGAGTGGTTTGTTCCTCCTGCATCACACAACGGAGTGTCCAGGAGGCTGCTCACGCTCCCACCCCGGAGGAGGAGGTGGATAAACCCTCCCGCCGGTGCCGGCGCTGCCGATCCATCTGCTCCCCGTGCCCAGCCGGAGCCAGAGGGAATGGATACCCCCATCTCCCGCATCCCCCGGGGACATCTATTAGCCGGTTACGTAATCCAAACCACCGGCGAGGCGCTTCCAAGGGCTACAAAGCCCTTCCCCTTTAATGCCAGCGGAGATTAGAGAGCCCCAATCGAAGGCGAGTGGGGGAGCGGGGCCCGCGGGCGAGGCTGCGCTCGCGGAAAATGCGGCAGCCTCTCCCCCCTCTTAATGCACTCGAAATCCCTGCTGGCTCCCAGATCTGCTGCTAAAAGAAAAAAGGAAAAAAAGGAAAAAAAAAAACAAAAAAAAACCCCAAACAAACCAAACAACAAAACCAACAACCCCTAGCTCAGCCTGCATTAAAGTGATATTAAAGCGACGCCGGGAGGGCGAGTTTTTTTGGGGGGGGAAGAAGCATCCGGAGGAATCCGGAGGAGCTCGGAAGCGTTTTGGGAGCGGGCCAAAGGGAGCCGGGGTGCGGGTCTGCGGCGGGGCACCCACGTGCTCCGCCAAAGCTGCTTAGTCGCTGGTTTTGAGCATCCAGGGGCAGATCCTCCCTGCGATAAACACCCGTCACTGAGCGCGACACGCCCCGGCCCTTCCCTGGGTGACAGATGCGCTCCCGGCTCCCGGGGCAGGGATTTCGCTCCGTTCCTGCTCCCTCTTCAGGCCGGCTGACCCCACGGCAAGGCAACCAAACCGAGTCCCAGGCAAACTCCTCGCCCGCCGCGCGGTTTTTGCTGCGAACCGAACGCCGAGGGCTCAGAACCAGCGCGTTCCCTGCGAGGCGGGGATTTGGAAGGGCTGTGATGGAATTGAACCCCGAGGTCTCGTCTAGCCAGGGTCCTGCTTTCCGTGCCAAGTGACAAGGCAGCAAGTCACTGCTGTGCCACCCGACCTCAGGTGCTTGGCCCCCCTTTGACAATTAACACCCAAACAGCCCCATCCTCCAGGTGACTTTGTGACTCCCCCCTCCGTGTCCTCTCTCTGAGCTTATTTTGACAAACCTCCTTCCATTTAATCCAAATAACCGCCGAGTTTCTTCTCTGAACTCGGAAAGCATCACAGGATCAGGCTGGAAAAGACCTCTGGGATCACTGAGTCCAACCTGTGACCCCAGACACCACCAAGTCCCCCAGCCCAGAGCACCCAGTGCCACGTCCAGTCCTTCCCTGGACACCTCCAGGGTCAGGTAGAGGCTCAGAGCAACTGGAGGCAGTGGATGGGACACATTTGCACATTCCAGCAGCATCCCTTGAACCAAGTTCTGGGGATTTAGTTTTCTTTAATAGGAGTTTAGTTTGAACAGCTGCAAAAAGCCACCAGACTTGGCAGAAAAGACACCAAACAACTGGTGAGAAATTCTACAGAGAATCCCTAAAACCAAAGGATTGACTCTGGGAGCAAGAGGGAAAATAAAGCAAGAGCCAAACGACAGCTGAGGGACCCTGGAAGGTCTCACCTGAGCAGAAAAGCAACAGTTGCTCAAAAGCAGCCACCAAACCCACAAAAAAAAAAAAAAAAAAGCTTTGGGAAGGGAAAGAAATGAGAAGGTAATAAAATGTTGGTCATTCCTTCACGGGGAAGAGTGTGGGGATGAGTTTATTGTGGCACCAACTGGTTGTGTTGGTTGATCAAGGCTGGTCCTCCCTGTGCTGGGCACTGTGCAGGTGCAGAATGGGGAGGAGCTTTCCCCAAAAAAACCCTAAGGATAAAGAGGAGGGAAAGAGCAGAGCCACCAGCACCACGGAATCAAACGAGAGCTCGGTGCCACTATCTCATTCTAAGGCCCGACCCCGCTCAGTGACCACCTGCAGCTGGAAACTCTACCAGCAAAAACTGGGCATTTCAGCAAAAAGAGAGTAAAACCCTCCAGGTTAAGAGCACAGGAAAACCAACCCGAGGAATGCCAAGCCCCCAGCAGCCTTACCGTTGGCATCCTGCACGCCGGTGAGGGCCCCGACCGCCGCCGCAGTTTCTCCAGACAGGACAATCTGTCCCCCCCCTTGGAGAGTGGCTTCGGCCAGCGTGGCCACGGCGTGGGCAGCAGCTTCACTGTGGGCATGGAGGGCAGACAGGGCAATTAGGAACACCAAAACCACCAAACAACACCAAAACCACCAAACAATCCCATTTGAACCAGGCAACCCACGTCAGGCGACATCCAGAAGGGAGGGATCGGGCCCGGGTGAAGCGGAAAATCTACACTGGAGGGGGAATTATGTGGGAAGAAGGTGGATCCAGTGGCTTTTTTGAGTTTGGAGAGGTCTTAGGACATCCCTGTCCTCTTACCTTTGCATCCTTTCACTTGGGGTTCACTAAAACTTTGGGGCAACCCAAGTGGTTGTTCCGTGGGGCTCCCTCCTGCCTCTGCTTTCAGGTACAAAACTCATCCTTCTGGCACATCCTGGAGCTCTGCAGATCCCAGAGCTGTTCCCTTCATCCCTGACCCTGCCAGGCCGTGCCCAGGATCACACCACCAGCTCTGCCTTTAACTCCTCCCCAGCCAGGTGGTTTAATGATGCTTTTTAATGAGCGTTGTTTGTAGTACAGGATTGTTTCATGTCCTCACACAAATGAGGCCGGAGCAAAGGGCCTTCTCATGGAACAACCCTGCTGTGGGAACAGCCAGTGGCAGATATTTGGGAAGGAGTGTGGATGATCCTTTTCTTCCTGCACCCTCCCAGCTTCCCAGAGGCTGCATCTGCACCGTCAGCTCGGATTCGTCTGATCCCCTTGGAAACCCGTTTACACTTTTTGTTTCCACAGCATCTTGGAGCAACAAATCCCACATTTAATCAGAAGAAAAACTGAATTATGGTTCTGCACAAACTCCCACCTCAGCCCTTTGGCCTGGTACTGTGAGGGACAGAAAAGAACTGTTCCCTTTCTGCTTTCCTCATGATTTCAGAGACTTCCAGTAATCTCCTTCCCAAGCTGAAGAGGACTGTGGAATGGATTATTCCTGGGGTTTGATCACTCTTGTCCTTCCCAGACTTTTCCTGTTCAAGGGGAGCGACCACTTCTCACACTATTCCAGATGGAGATGCAACAAGTTAGTCCAGAGGCTTTACTCTGGCTTGTCCTTTGTGCCTTCCCCTCTAATTCCCAATATTCAACTTACTTTTTCAACAGAATCTGCTCAGCAGTGATTAAAAATCCCTGCCATGGGTCAGTGGTGGCCCTGGCAGTGCTGGGGGATGGTTGGACTCTGGGGGCTCCGAGGGCTTTTCCAACCAAAACAACCTCATGATTCTTACAATTCTACTGCAGAGAGACATCTGGGAAACCCCCCGAAAAACCTTTAGGAGAAACCCCACAAACCAAGGCTGTGGAGGAGCCTCTGACCCTGAAGAGGGAGCAGGAATCAGCACCTGTCCTGCAGACACCTGGACAGTGCCTGGCACGGGAATTCCCTAAGGAAATTCAACCAGGCCAAGGGCCGGGTCCTGCCCTTTGGCCACAAGAAGCCCCTGCAGCTGCAGGTTGGGCCAGAGGGGCTGGAGAGCAGCCAGGCAAGAAGGTTCTTGGGAGTTGGGATTGACAGGGAGCTGAACATGAGCCCGAGTGTGCCCAGGTGGCCAAGAGGGCCAATGGATCCTGGCCTGGCTC